TCTTCTCAGAGAACTGGGTTGATATAAGTGGGCAGTATATAAATTGGATAACTAAAATTGGGGGAGATAAAGGCATGAAGTGGTTGGTTTACAAACTTTGCCTCTTGATACATATACAAGTTCCATAAGAGCACAAAGAAATTTCTGGAATCCCTAGTCTTCTCAATGTTACCCATAGTTTATTTTGATCCAAAGTCTCTACATTAGCCAATGAAGCACACATAAATGTCTTTGTAGTATTTTTTGCTTTCAGCCAAGGTATATCTTTAGAGTATTGAAAAGCAAGGATGGTACTTTGAGGCCTCAGGTACACCTGACCCAAGCCATGGTATTTTCGTTTGCCTTCTGTGCATATAAAAGTTGGACATTGAATAAGGAAGATCAAAGGAGAAGAATCAATGCATTTGAATTGTGCTGGTGAAGACTATTGAAAGTCCACTGGACTGCCAAAAGGACCAACTGATCTGCCTTGGAAGAAGTACATTCAGTGTGCTCCTTGGAGGCAAGGATGGCAAGACTTTGTCTTCCATACTTTGGATATGTTGTCAGGAGAGACCAGTCCCTGGAGAAGGACATCATGCATAGACCAAGTACTTAGCCAAACTCACTGCCATTGAGTTCATACTGACTCATAGTAACTCCCTGCGGGTTTCTGACACTGTAACTGTTCACTGGAGTAGAAAGCCCAGTCTTTCTCCTATGAAGTTGCTGGTAGTTTCAAACTGCCAACCATGTGAATCGCAGTCCAGTGCATAACCACTGCACCAGAAGGCCTGAGTTAGTTTGTTTATTGTGCTAACCTGGCCAATAAACACATGTAGGGTTAATTGAAGGGTGGAGGGATAAATGGCTGGATGAGCCTAACCTTTCGAGTTCTCAGGTCTCTTTGTGATGGTCACACTAGGGTGCAGCTGCCTTAGCAGTTCCCTGCTTCAGCTTGCAAGGCTGACTTCCTGCAAGACATCCTCAAGGAGAAGCCACATGGACGTACCCCAGTCCAGCCCTGGGTGCTGGAGCACCCGTGTGGAGACCCCTGCCAGCGCTGAGATGCTTACACATTCACTGACTCGGTTTTCCTCCTCCAGTCGGCATCATTTCCTCTGTTTTGTGAGGTGGAGGAGGACTTTGTGGATTGTTGTTGGACATATGGGTTAATGTTGGACTTGTGGGCTTGGGCAGCACTGGGTTGGGATGTTTTCTTGATGTGCACTTAATCTTTACATAAAACTCTCTTATACATGAGTTTCTGTGGATTTGTTTCTCCACAAAAGTACCCAGACTAATACAAGGCCCTCAAGGAAATGGATAGACACGTGGTTGTAACAATGGGCTTAAACACAGGAACAATTGTGAGGATGTTACATGACGGGGCAGTATTTCGTCTAGTTGGGCAAAAGGTCTCTATGGGTAGGAACTGACTTGATAGCACCTAACAGTACCAACATGGGGAATTTGACATTTAAGCCTTCTGCACTTCTATGATTTTCTAAGTGTGTTGCCTTTGATACAGCAAAATGATAAATAAAATATTTGCTACTTCAGCAATTTGGACATGCATAGTACAATAACATTGATTGTATCCATCGTGTTTTATGACCATTACAAAATGGGAATGGCAGTCTCTTTTTCATAGTCGGCAAACAGAAATTCATGCCATTTGGTCCCTGAAGGAACTATGTATCATCACATTAGAATGTATTTGTGGATGTTTACATGTAGATATGTTTGATGAATAGTAATTAGTATATAGTAGCATAACATCTGAGAATTCTGAGAATTGTAGGGAGGTCTGGATTCTTATGTATTTTGTCACCTAGTTATTTGACTTTTCATTACTGTTGCCTGGTTCTATGAGAAGACAGGAAGACTAACCGTGCAACTTGTGAGCTATGTGAAATAAGTGACAGCTATGTGAATATTAATAATTTTTTAAAATCATTTTATTAGGGGTTCATACAACTCTTATCACAATCCATACATACATAAATTGTGTAAAGCACATTTGTACATTCATTGCCCTCATCATTCTCAAAACATTTCTTCTCCACTTAAG